GAGTGATGGTGGGAAACCACCCCTTGCTGACTTGTAGGGCATATGCACCTGAGCCAGAAATGAACTGTTGTTGGCGTCAAACCACAGGAACTAGCCTAACCTGACTGACTGCAGGCCTCGGTGAAGTGTGGGAGCTGGCTTGCTGTTCTGAGGGAATGTGTCCCAGAGGTGAGAAAAGCAAGTGCAAAGGCCCTGGAGCTGAGTGTGCTCGGTTTCTAAAGAAACAGGAAGACGGCCCTTGTGGCTGAGAGATGTGAATGAAGAAGAGCTGGAGGAGGTGAAATTGGTGATGTCAGGTTAGATTACAGTGAAGCCTTGGGAATTTCCTAAAAGGGTACTTCAAAGAACCCAGCCCAGCTGGAAGCCAAAGACAAGAGTCTCCCAGATAGAAGGTTTTATCCTTGCCTGGAGGGGGGGTGTTAAATGGTTACCACCCTGAGGCTATTTTTACTGTCTCCTGGAGCAAACCCAGTTTTGCTGGAGGGCGCCTTTCTCTCCTCTTAGCACCCTGTGACATCACAGCCTGTTCTGATTCCCTATTGGCCGAGAGCTCACTTTTCTCTCAGGGAAGGAAAGGATTGCTCTCCAGGCCCAAAAGGGCCTCAAGGTGACTACTCCAGGATTGGCCAACTAGCTCAGCAGATTAAAGCGCCTTTTTAGGCAGACGTGGGGCCAGGAGTTCGATCGCATGGCCAGCTATGCTGGCCCCACCCCCGGGAAGCGCTGAGACTGGTAATCCCAGCATTTTGGGAGGCAGTAAATGAGGATCATTAGGAGTCTAATCTATGCAGTGAGACCCTGTACATCCATACACCCTGTCCCAAATACAAGGAAAAAAAGATGACTTCTAAGATTCCCTTGAAGCACTCCTTTACAGTGGCTCTGCAGAAAAGCTCACACAGATTTGAAGTTGTGGTTGGCTGAGCTCAGGGTGACAAAAGGGTAAGCCAGGACAGCCTGCCACTCTGTAATACTTTCTGTGTTTGGCCTGTTTGGTGGCAATTTAATTCTGCTTAACATCAGTCAATGTCAGTCTCTCAGGAAAGCATCTGGATTTTGCTTCAAGGCCAGGTGAATGTTGGAACCCTCTTCAGATACTACCCAGAGATTACCCTAAAGCTTTTTCGAAAGAATGTTCTTTTCCAAAAAATCATTTATTTATTTGTTTTTTTGTTACAGGGTCTCACTACAAGGTTCAGACTCGAAGTGATCTTCCTGTCTCAGCCTTCTCAGCACAGGGATTACAGATGGTTTCTGGCCTGCAAAGCTTCCCTGGAGTTCCTGGACCTGCACGGCATATGGCAGCAGGGATCAAACCCGGGTCTTTGCGCTTGCCAGGCAGGTGCTTAGACCACGAGCTATCTCCCTAGCCCTGGAGAAAGAATGTTCTTTCATCAGGAACTTTCTGGAAATATGGAGCTTTTTTTCTTGTTCAATTTTCCCGCCTTTTCCAGTTATGCCCCACACATTGTGTCTTGGTCAGTGGATCAAGTAACAATAATCTGACTGGCACCTAGTGACGCCATACAAATTCTTCCATTGGATTGGTCACTTTGTCTCAGGGAACTCTCGCCAGATTTGTTCAAGGCCTTCTTGATTTGCCCGGAGAGACTAGCCAAGCATGAATCAAGAGTCAGTAGATAAAATTTCCCACGATTTTACTTTATTGTGGACCAGAGTTACTCGCATCACAAGCCAAACAGGCACTTCTGAGACTCCAGAAGTCCCACTTAGTTTGGCGCCTTTTGCTAGAAGTTGCACACCCCTGCGATGCTGGAGTATGCGCAGTGACGTCAGGGGTGCCGCGGCTTCTGATTGGTTCAAGAAAGATGTACCTCGAGGTTAGAGGGTTCCGCCCCCTCACCTCTGAGTTCCTTCAGTGGCTTTCGAGGCAGTTCCAGCGTTGGTTAGTGTGTAGCTTGGGGGCTCTGGCTGGGGGGCTTCAGACCGCGGCAGCCGCCAGCACGCTCCTCCTGCTGCAGCCTCCGCAGTGGCCGGGCCCAGCGCGGCCTCCAGGGCAGTGCGAGGCCGTGGCGGTCGAGGACTAGGCGCGCGGGGTCCGGGTCTCCGGCCGCGCTGCCCAGCAGCAGGTAGTCGGTCCCGGGGCGCAGGCGCAGGCAGCCGCAGGCCAGGTCCGCGCGGGGCACCCAGGCGTCCTGGTCTCCGCGGCGCACGGGCCAGGCTCGCTGCTTGTACACGGCCAGCACGCGAATGACCAGCCGCCGCCACACGGGCCCGGCCGCCTCTGACGCCAGCACCTGCGCATGCAGAACTGCGGGGAGGCCGGGGTCAGGCAGGGCGCGGCCTCGGGTCGGGCAGTGAAGAATGGGGAGAGACCTTGAACCCCTAGGGAGTCTGGCCTAGGGCCAGAGGGTTGCTGGAGGGGACTTCGCAGACGGGCCCTGGGGGATCAAGAGGTTTGTGAGGGGAGCCAGGGAAGTGGCTCAGTAGAATAAGCGCTTCCCTGGCAAGCTCAAGAACCTGAGTTCAATCCCTGGTTCCACCAAAAAAAAAAAATTGTGAGGTGCAGTCCCAGTATTGAGGTTGGAAGAGGAGGTTGTGTATTGCCAGGGAAAGGGCTGTGGGGATGATTTGGGAGGCTGGAAGGATGGGCTGTCCCTGGAACCGAAGGCTGAGGTCACACTAGCAATTAGGAAACATGTGCTTTCTGAGGGGGTCGGTCACAGCCTAGTGGGCTAGGGCTGGCTAGCGAAGTGGTTCTGATTAAAGAATCCTTCTGGCCACTGGGGAGAAAAGGCTCCACTTTCAAAGGCCTGGAACACAAATGGCCAGATAATGACCCTGGGTGGGGAGGAGACTGAGCTCCCATGCAGTAAGTGAAGTAGCTCCACCAGTCTGCATTTGTGGGCTGTGCTGACTTTCCGGGCAGGAGAGCGTCTGAGTTAGATCCATGTGGACTTTGGTTTAGAGATCTGAGGGTCGAGTGGGGGTGGTGGGGCAAAGGTTCAGATATCTGATACCCAGAAGGATTGTGGAAAGTGCCTGAGAAGGCTGGGGAGATAGCTCAGTAGAGTAAGAAAGGGCCTGAGAGAAGATAGGACAAGGAGGCTTCCTTTAACCAGATCCCTCTTGTCCTTCCACCCTCAGAGGTGTCGGGCTGAAGGACAGGGCAAAGCTCTGAAGCTCAAGAACATGGGGGAAGAGGAGACACAAAAAGGTGTGAGAATCCCCCCTCCCCAGTCCAACGCCCTTTCTGTGTAAGAGGAGAAAACTGCGGGCTGAGCCTGGAGATGACACCGACTGGGCACCCTGTGCCTTTTCTCCCCAGCTCACCGTAGTCCTGCTGGCAGTACCTCCGGAGGCTCATGTGGACTCTGGTGTCCGAGCTGTTGCAGTGGTTTTGACACTGAGGGTCTGGGGAGGGTTGGGCTGTGAGGCGTGGACCTCAGTGCCCCGCCCACCCATTCCCCACTGCAGAGTGCTGGGCCGCTGGGATTCCACACCCCCGGACACGGTAACCTCAGAGTCCCCTCAGTGCATCCGGGACCCATCTTGATGCCTGGGCATCTCACTGCCTGATTGTCTTACCAGAGATAGAAGCAACAGGGGTAGTGGCAAGGGGAGTAGTGGTCTCTGGAATTCCTGAGCCCAAAGGAGAAACTGGATTTAACCTCTTAGTCACCCTTTCCCAGGAATCTGGACATCCAGACTCCGAAGGGTGCACGTGTCATTTGCCCTCCTCTCCCAAGACCCAGGAGTCTACACCCCTACTTATTCTTCCTCCAGCCCCCTCCACTCCAAGGCTGAGGAGGTTGGAATCTCAGTTCTTGGCTTCTTTGAGGACTCAGAGTCCCTCCTCCACCCTCTAGTTCCCATCTCCTAGGCCCCACCTCAGTTTGCTACTGAGATCTAGACATCTCCTGCCCACTCACTCAGGACTTGGGGTCCTGCCCCTTGGAACTCACGCTGGCAGGGCATCCTGGGGGAGCGACTCTGCTGGTAGCCCAGCCCACAGCGATTGCACGTCAGGCCTGTGACCCCCAACTTGCAGGAGCACTGCCCACTGGTCTGGTTGCACGTACCTCCTGTTGCCCCAACGGGGTGGCACTGGCAGGCTATGCAGGGAGAGGAGTGGGGGTGTGGGGCATCAGGGACCCAAATGCTTCCTGCTAAGCTGGCATTCCTGTCCTCTCCCAGCCATACTGGGGTCCAAGGCCCAGCCTCCTCCCTCAGACCAGGGCTTCCCTGTGTACTTTTCCCCTCACCCGGCTTCCCCTCACACCACACTCACCCCTGCAAGCCTTGCGGCTGGTGATGGGCTGGCTGGCGTCTCTCCAGAACCCAGGCTGGCAGTAGTGGCAGTGGCGTCCTGCTGTGTGGTGGCGGCAGCGCTCACACACCCCTCCGCTCCGGCCACCGGACAGCCTGAACAGCTCAGCATTGAAGCGGCAGCGGCGAGCATGCTGGTTGCAGGAGCAGGCTGGGAGTGAGACAGAGCTGCGCTGTGGGGGCCAGGCTTTGGGTCCCCTGGTCCCCAGGGTTCTCCTTACTTCAGTTCCCCCAGGAAACGAAACCTGGACCCCAGAACATCTTCATTCTTATCTCGAAGTGGGTGCATGTGATGGAGCCCTGAGCCCCAGGAACCGTGATCCCTAGGGGCTCTGTGGTGAGGGCTCGGGATGAGGGTGACGCCTGCCTGCTGCTCTCCCTAGCTGCTCCCCATTGCCGCAGAGGGGAGTTAACATGTGCCCCACTTTTGAGGCTTACAAAGCAAAGCTACTCTACCTGGACCTGGCACAGAGTGGGCCCTGTGCTGAGTGTTTCAGATGTCAACCACAATGTAAGGAGCACGTCGCCTATTTTCCTTTTCTTTTTTGGGGGTGTGTGGGGGGGTGAATGCCAGGCCTTCAAGCTGAGTTACATCCCCAGCCCTTTACATTTTCTATTTTGAGACAGGGTCTCACTGAGTCACCAAGTTGCTCAGTGTGGGCTTAGACTTGTGATCCTCCTGCCTCGGCCTCCCACAGCATGCAGGGGTTCCAGGTGTGTGCCACCATGCCTGGCTCCTTGATGTGTTTCATTGTCACTGTGGCTCTCTGACTGCTACCAGCATCGTCCACTCCATAGGCAGGGAAACTTGCAGGGCTTTCTTTTCTCAGACAGCTTTTACTCTTTCTTTCCTGTGTTGAATTTCTGAAATCTTGAATGTTACATGCCTTGGTGTAGATTTCTTTTGACTGTGGCTGGTTGGAGTTCTGTATGCCTCACTTAATCAGAGGGGGAAACTTAGGCATGGAGAGGCACTGTAACCCACCTAAGGAGAGTAGCCTGGAGGTGGTCAGAGGCAGGATGGATGGATTGATTGATTGATTGATTTAGAGGCAGGATTTGAACCCCGCACTCTGGAGGATGTTGCCCTTCCCAGGGAGCGTTTATCAGGTTTTCCAAGGCAGTGATTCACAAGCCTCCCTCCTTATCACAGTCAATAGGGAAGCATTTTTAAAACTCTATGAAAAGGGGCTGGTGAGATGGCTCAGTGGTCTAAAGCACCTACTTAGAACAAGCTTAGCAAAGCATCAGGGACCACGGTTCAATCCCCAGCACCACATGCCAGCCAGCCCCGCCCCCTGGTGGGCTGAGCTGGCCACACGCGCGCACGCACACACACACACACACACACACACACAAAACTCTATGAAAAACAAAAAACCTCTATCGATGCAGAGCATAGCGGCACAGGCCTGTAATTCACCACTTGGGAGGCTAAGGCAGGAGGATCGTTGCAAGTTTAAGACCAGCCTGGGCTACAAAGTGAGCTCAAGGCCAACCTGAACTGCACAGGGAGACCCTGTCTCAGAAAGACCAAAAAAAACCCCAAGCAAACAAAACAAAAACCAAAAGAAAAACACTGATTCCAGGTCCACACCGTGGTGTTCACTGGGCCTGGGGGGCTTCTTATTCAGAGTTGAGAACCCCACGCTAGCAGGTCCCTGGGGGCCCAGTAGAGTTGTGGGGCGGTCAGGGAGAAGGGCTGCCCTCTGGCTTCAGTCTGCCCTGTCCATCAGGATTAACCAGCTCAGTTCCCAGGGCTTGGTGGCATTAGAGGCGGCAGTGCTGGGCAGGTTTGGGGGGAGGAGGATAGAGTTAGGCTGTGGATCCTTTCTGACCCAAGGGGAGATTTTGTTCTGGAAGTCTCAGCTGAAGAAGTACAGGAAGGGGCTGGGGAGGGGCTGGAGAGATGGCTCAGTGGTCTAAAGCACCTACTTGAGACAAGCTTGGCAAAGCACAGGGACCGCAGTTCGATCCCCAGCACCACATGCCAGCCAGCCCCGCCCCCTGGTGGGCTGAGCTGGCCACACACACACAATAAATAAATGTAATAAATAAAAATAAATATGAAAAAAAAGGAAGGGGCTGGGGAGATGGCTCAGTAGAATAAGCGCTTTCCTGGCAAGCGCAAGGGCCTGAGTTCAATCCCTAGAAGTGCAGGCGTACCAGGGACCTGGCCCAGCGTGGTCCTCAACACAGGAGCCCAGCTTGCCTCCTCAGAAAGACCCCTCCCTCCCCACAGCCCTAGGAGGTCTCTCTCACCCAGCAACTGTTGCAGTCCCCCGAGGGAGGGAGGGTCTCCATGCAGATCCAGGGTGCAGCCCACACCACCCCTGGGTCCAAGGCAGGCAATGTCTAAGGCCCACTGAGTGGAGGCCCTGGGTCTGGGGGGAATGGGGGCAGATACAGGAAGGAGGGAATCTGGGGGGAGGAGAACAGAGGGGAGCTGAGGACCCAGGAGGGCCTGTAAGTTAGTTCCTGGGACACTGTGTGCAGGAAACAAGAAGGGGCAGCAGCACACGCGTGTGGGGAGGGGGAAGAGTGGGAGTCCACAGCACACAGGTCTGAGGAGGGCCCAGGTCTGGGGACTCTGGAGCCCCAGGAGGGAGGGTGGTGTGCACAGGGGCTGGGGCGCTTGCCGGTGATCTCAGTGCTGCCCTGGCCTCCCATGAGGCCTCACCTTCCTCCCTGATGGCGACATGGCAGGCACCCCGGAGCGGAGCATTCGCTCTCCTGCCATCAGGACCGGGCCCTGCCCCAGGGCTTCGTGAACACCAGCTCACCCCATCCCCACTACAGCCCTGAGGGAGCAATGTTACTGTCCCCACCAGATGGGTCTCCACAGGGAGTCCCTCGCCTGAGGTCACACAGCTGGTGAGCTGGGACAGGAAAAACCTCGCTGTTTGTCTTCCTAAAGCACCCAGGGTGACAGCCCCCAAAAGGAGCTTGGCAGGGACCAGGAGGCCCAGCTGCAAGGGGCTTGGCCCTGGGCACACGTGGCAACTTGTGTCTTGCACAGGGCATTTGTGACCTCTGGCCTCAGTCTCCTCATCTGGAAATGGGGTCACTGAGGGCCCCACCTGTCATGTGGCCGGTGCTAGGTAAGCATGTGCCTTGTCCTTGCTCCCTGAATTGGTTTGAGAAGCTGCGGAGTACCCGGCTGCTCTGTTCTGACCCTACCCTGCCCCATCATTGTCAGGCGAGGGAGGGTGAGCTGCAGCCCCACCCCCATGGCTGGCCAGGTGCCAGTGTCTGGGACAGGAGGCACAGCAGGTGGAGAGGGGCCCAAGGCCCAGGATGGTGCAGGGCGCGGCAAGGAGCCAGTGTTCTGGGGAGGAAGAGAGCACCCTGCCCCGTGGGGGACAAGGGCCCAGCTGCCAGGGAGAAGGGGCTCAGGCAGAGCCCAGGACTCACGCAGACAAGGATGGGGGTGCTGGGGTGTGGCGGGCCGCCAGGGCCAGTCGCGATGGGATGGGCGGCAGCTCTCACACCCTGGGCCAGTGGTGTGGTGACGGCAGCGGCAGCGGGGAGGCTGGGCACGGGTGGCACAGCGGGCAGCGTGGCCGTGGCACTGGCAGCGGCCTCTCACTCCAGCTGCTACCAGCCCTACCCGACCCCTAAACTCCACACGGATGTGGCGCGCCACCACGCTGGCCTTAGGGCCTGGTGGGGAGCGGAAGGTCACCCTCTCGGGGCCCCCCAAGGCTCCAGGCCAGGCAGCTCTGCGCCACAGAGGCCTCCAAGGACCCCCAGCAGCCCAGGCAGCAGACAGAACGAGGGCTGGGGAGCCTGGGGTGCAGAAGCGCAGGCTGACGGACGTTAGGAGGAAGGGGCCATCCAGGTCCAGGGTCAGGCTGCCATTGCAGGCAGCCCCGGGGCCAGGGCCCAACCCCGGGGAGAGGCCACAGGGCTGAGGACAGGAGGTCGCGCCCCCACTGGCCAGCTGGGTCACTGGCGGGAGGCAGAAACGGGGGTGGCCCCCAGGATCGTAGCATGGATCTGAGGTGGCCTGGCCCAGGAGTAGCAAGAGGGCAAGGGTCACAGGCATGGTCACGGCACAGCCAGCACCTGCAGAGGAGAGATGGCAATGGGAGCTCCGCGTCAGCCCCCAGCCTGCTCCCTGAGACCCCCTGCGGAACTCAGCATTCCACCCAGCCCTGCCAGAGCCTCCTCTCCGCCTGCTTAGGAGCGAGGAAAATAGTTCCATCTGGGGAGAATTACTGTTTACACAACCCAAAGGGGAAAGAACGCAAGCAAAATCGAGAATTCCTCCTGAACTAATCTATAGCTTAACACCCCAGAGTTATCCGTCAGCGTCAAGGGGAAGGGGCCCCCAGGGAGAGACGCGCGGGGTAGGGGCAGACAAGAGGGACAGGGCAGAGGGCACCCGACGCTGAAACCTAGATAGGGACAGAGAGCTGAGCAGAGCCTTGTGGGCAAGGGGGCTGCAGATACCAAGGGCTCGGCGACAGTTAGAGCAGGGGACGGAGGCAGAGGCAGCAGACGGAGGAGGAGCAAGGTGCACAGCCACAGGGAAGGGCCTGGCACAGAGAAGGACAGGGCAGCACAGAGACCCAGAGAGGTCGGGAGGTGAGACGGACAGGGTTGAGCGCACAGCCCACAGGCACGTGGGAGACCAGCGGGTGAGGGGCCGGCAGGTGGCCCAGAGCCGAAGGGGCAGGGGACAGCTCGCAAGGCTTAAGGAGGCCCCGGCTGGTGGTGCCCAGCCAGGGATCAGACAGAAACAGGCTGAGGCCTAGCCCCCAGGAACACAGCAGGGGCCTCTCCCCCTTGGGTCCTAACCTTGTTCTCCACAGCCCTGGCACCCCTAGCTTCTCTGCCACCCAGCCCAGCCACTGCCCGTCTTTAACTCTTTCCTGGCCTGGCCGGAGCTGAGGAGCGGGGCAACAGATGGGCTGGGGGTGTGGGGACTTTCAGATCAAGTGGCTCTACCTGCTACCCTTGGCCTTAGGGTTTGGGGATCAGAGTCCCCACCCCAATTCTCCACCCATCCTCAGGGCCCTCAGCAGATGGAGCAGATGTTGGCCGGGGGGGGGTAGTGAGGGAGGAGAGAGGCAGGAAGGCAGGAGGGTGGGACAGGGCAGGCACCAGATGCCAGGGTGCCCGAGGGGCCCAAAGTCCTGACCACCACAGGTGGCTACAAAGACTCAGCTCTCCACTGCCTGCCATGGCTCCTTGGAGGCTGGCAGCCCCCTGAGTAGCCCACCTGGGGCTGGGGATCTCAGCACCTTTCTGGGCTGCAGTCTGGATTCCTGGCCCCAGCTCTGCACCAGGCTGGCAGCCTGGGTGGGAGGGCCACACGGTCCCTGTGCTCCACTGTGTGGACTCTGGCTCCCCTGGCCCAGGCCACACCCTGGCCCGCCAGGCTCTGGCGCCATTTTGTGCTTGCTGCGGACCGGTGTTCTCTAGGCCTCTGCCACAGCCATTTTCAGGCCTGGCCCCCATGTAAGCAGGTCTCTTGTTCCGTTGTTCTTGGGGGTCCCACTTCATGCCCTTAGCACCATGAGGACCCAGGCCTTGAGTCCCCCAGTAGCCTGGGGACTGAGAAACTGGCCCCAGGCCACTGCAGAACCCAGCTGTCCAGCCCAGCCGTCACCCCGCCTTTCAGGAGCTGGGCGGCTGGGTCCTGGCATAGGCAGCCTGGGTCTGCACGGCGCCAGGGCCCCTTCCCCTCCTGATACGCACTCCCACCCAAGCCCGGGGTCCCAGGCCTTGCCAACCTGTGCCACAGAGTCTGCAGTTGGTCCCCACATGCTCCTCCGCAGGCTGATGGCGTGGGCTCCCTCAGTGGGCTCCCGGAGGGACGGGACGAGCGAGTGAGCTAGGAGGGGCTGCTCTCGGCCCAGGCTGGGGTCTGGGCGGGAGCTCCGCAGAATCCAACACCACCCCCTCCCCCAGGCCCCTCACCAACCGCAGCCCCGCTCTCCCCGCAGGGACCCCGCCAGCCACGCCACCGGAGACCTTGTGGGACCGAAGTGCTCTTGTCCCTGTTGGGCCCACCGCTAGACAGCTCCCAGCAGGCTGGCCCAGGAGGCTCCGGGCAGGTAAGACAGATAGGTGCAGGATGGGGTCTGGGCCTGGGGTCCCCGCTCCACCCTTACTTGGCCCAGCCCCTGACTCCTGAGGGCGCGGCCTGCTGAGCCACGTGGTGGCTCAATCTGGCCCTGACCTGCGAGCAGCCCGTGCCCTCACCGTGGGGAATCCACTGACCCTGCCTTGAGCTGACCCCCAGCCGGCCCCGCCTTGCAAGCTGCAGCTTCGGGTTAACTGAGCGTTAAGGTCAGTCGCTTTCAAGCCCTAAAACCCTGCGCTCTTGGAAGGATCAGACCCGCCGCTGGGAACCCAGAGGCCTTGGCACGAAGGGAGTGGGAGGGGCGGCAGGGGAGTGAGAGCCCCTCCGGCCTGGGGGATGGAGCGAGGGCCCAGAGGCCACTCCCGGTGGCCACTCCCGGTGGCCAATGTCTCGGATGGCTGGTGTTTTCCTCCTAAAATTCCCAGGCAAATGTTTTCTTATCCAAATGGTTTTGACTAGAAAAATAAGGGTTTTTTTGTCACTCCAGATCAAGGGTGATGGGAAGCCAGCATGTCGCTGCCGTTTGACCTGGGTGTCCAGGACATTTGTGCAGCACCATGTGGGCATGGGTCACACAGGAACACAGGGACCACTGTGTAGGCCAGCTGGCCGCAGTGACCCTGGTTCTGAGTGATTCCCAGATCCGGCAGGAACAGGGACACCTGGGGTTGACTTTGAAAGCTATGAGGAGGGGTTGGCTAGGAGAGGACAGGCTCATGGGCTGGGGGAACTCATGTCAGAGGGGCTCCACGGCTCAGGCAAGGGGTGCTGAGTGGTGGGATGAACGCGCAGGACTCATGGTGTCCAAGAAGCCAGCCAGTCCCACCTGCCAGACCCCCTGTTCTGCAAAGACCCGGGAACAGGACCCCAGGCCCAAACCTCGCCAGGCGCATTCCAGAGGGGACTCACTGTCAAGCAATAAGGAATTCTGGCCAGAGGCTGTCAGGAGCGGCACCGCATCAAAACGGGCTGTGATCAGTGGCATGACATGGAGGGACACTGGGTGACACCCAAAGGAGGCCAGGGCAGCCACTGAGGCCATGGGGATGCTGGCTTTGTTGCCAGAAACTTGGGGAGTTTGGGCTTCGCTACATTTTCTCTTCCTCCCTGTCCATTTGTGGGATAAGAGGTTCCCCAAGCTCATGTTCCCTGAAGGTTTGTTTTCTTCTCCACTTATCTTTTTTTTTGTAAAGATAAGGTCTCACTGTCCAGTCAAGGATGGCCTTGCACTCCCTTTGTAGCCCAGGCTGGCCTTGAACTTGTGGTGATCCTCCTATCTCAGCCTCTAGAATACTGGTATTACAGGCGTGCGCCACCAAGCTGGGCCCACTTCTTTGCCTGAGCAGCCCCGCACTCAGCAGCCCTGCAGGCCGCCCTGAGGGTGGGTGCCGAGGAGTGCAGGATGTGCCTCCCAGGTGGAATGAACTTCTTGGGTGTTCTGGGGGGCGAGGACTCCCGGAGTCCTGGGACCCTCACCCTCAGGCTCCAGAAGAGGTGTTAGGACCCGCGGGGACTCCCTGTTCCCACGAGGGACAGAGGCTCCAAGGCTGCGCAGAAGTGTCTCTGAGCTATACCTGGGGGAGAGGGGACCGCTCTCAGGTCTGGGACAGAACTGTGGCTGTGTGACCTAAGGAAGTTGCTCACCCTCCCTGTGTGTTGTTTGCGTCACCTCTTAAATAAGGATTAAAATGTCACCTACCTCCTCGGGGCACTTCTTTCTTACCTGCAAGCTTGAGCCAGATGTGTCCCTTAACCACTGCAGTCACCCAGGGGAAGGAATGGGCTGCATCCTGCATCAGACTTGTCACTGTTCGTGCCCCAAAGCCCGCGGCTCACACTTGGAGAAGTGGAACCTACAGGAAGTCGGCGGCGGCGTCCCTCCCACCCCGTAGTGAGTTTAGGAGCTGTTTTTTTCCCACCCAGAGGAAAGGGATTGCGCGCAGGCCGTGGGCACCGCAGCCCCAGCCTCCCTGGTTCAGTTGGCTCCACTTCCTGGCTGTTGAGGCTGATGCCACAAGGGGGAGCTCTCGGGACTGCAGGAAAAGGTGGGCGGCACCTCTGAGGGCCCGGCTCCAGGAAAAACGCGGGTCCTTCTAAGAATTTCACCCAGCGTGGTGGCACACGCCTCTAATCCCAGTTTGCTAGGAGGCTGAGGCAGGAGGGTTGATACTTCAAGCCCAGTTTGGACAACTGCGGGCAGGGAGCTGGGATGTAGCTCAGTGTGAAGGCTCTGAGTTTGAGCCCTAGTACTGAGAAACGAGAATTTCAGGGTGGTGAGGTGGGCAGTAACCCCCACAGGAGCCTGCTTGCTAGGAGCTGTGGGGCAGCTCAGTGGTGGTGGCCTGGGGGAGGTCCTCTCCCAGTGGCAGCTCCCTGGGTTGGACACAATAATGATGGGGGTGCAGCATCTGCCAGCTCGGGGGAGAGCAGTTCAGGGCGATTTCATTTGGTTTCAGCAGCAGCAGTTTCTCATGCGCGTCAGCATCAGTGATGTGTGTGTGACATCGTGTCTGAGCTCACTGGGAAGCCACACGAAACTCACGTGGCCTGGGAGGCCCTGGGTGTTTGGATGTGGCTCGGAGAGAGGACAAGAGCCAAGTCACCTGCAGGGCAGTGACACCTGGCCCGGGGACAGTGGGGACTGCTGTTCTACTGTGAGGACAGAAGCTGTGGTCCGCCAGCCCAGTCAGCCCAGAGGACCTGGAGGCCACATATCCAGGCTCCTCTGAGGTTCCGATGCAGGCTGCCCAGTGGGGCGCGTAGGGGATGGCGAGCGAGAGCAGTGGGCGGGCATGGGCAGAGGGCAGTGTGGTGGGCAGACTAAGCGCCTGCTAAGGCAAGCACAGGGACTGGGGTTCAATCCCCAGCACTACAGGCTGTGCCGGCGTGGCGGCGCACACCTGTAATCCAAGCGCTGGAGAGGCTAAAAAACAGGAGGATCACTATGGGTCCCTGCTGCGTAGCGAGACCCTGTACCAGACACATACCAAAGAAAAGAAAAAGAAAAACCCAGCCTGAATGGATCTTGGGTGCCGCGGTGCTCTCTCCAACCCACCAGGGCCAAAGTGCATCACAGATCCTCAGAAACAAAAGCTCGGCTGGCGGGGGTGGGTCGGACTAGGGGAGGTGTCAAGAGGTACAGGGTTTCCTTTCAGGGTGGTGCAGATGTCCCAGAAGTGATTCAGATGCTCACAGAGCTCTGTGACTGTCCTAAAAGCCATGAAATTGTGCATTTTAAATGGGTGGATTGTGTGGCATGTGAACTGTACCTCAAAGGGACTGTGGGGGAGGGGCACTGGTGGCAAACGTGCACACACAGTAAAAGCCAAAGCGACACTGGGGCTGGCATCATGGAGTGGGCCCTCCAGAACCAGTGAGTGGGAACGGCTGGGCCCTTAAGTCCAGGGCCAGAAATGGCCTTGGTGTCACTTCTGCCCCATTTGACAGCTGAGGGAGCCCTGGCCAAACTAGATCCATGGGAAGGGCAGAGGCGAAGGATGCCTGATCCCTCACACACCCCAATAGTGCTGACTGTGGCCGACTCCAGTTCACAATGTGGCCCCAAGGCCAATCAACCTTGCTGGGTAGCAGGACACAGTGCCTAGCGCCGTCCCCTAGTCCCCTGACCTGCTCTGCTCTCAGCGCCCTCTGCTGGCCCCAGCTCAATGGTACCAGGAGGATGCAAGGCTCCTGTGTTCTCGTTTGCTGCTCCGCCTGGTGCTGTGGTTAACCTGCGCCTGACACTGGAAGAATTTTTTACTATACGGACAGAGCACTTCCTGTATGCTGGGTGCTGTCCTAAAATATAATCGGGCATGGTGGCACACCCCTGCAATCCCACCATCCAGGAGGCAGACACAGAAGGATTGAATTCCAGGCTAGCCAGGGCTGCAAAGTGAGTTCCAGAGTGGCCTGAACTGCAATGAGACTCTGTCTCAAAATAAATAAATAAATATCACAAAGTGAGAATTGCCTAGGGGGGGCACCCATGCCAAGTCCCAAAAGCACTTAGTCCCAAGCCCTATATGCCCTATTCTTTTATTTTATTTTATTTTATTTTTTTAATATATACCTTTTTTTAAGTTTTTATTTATTTATTTATTTATTTGTGTGTGTGTGTGGCCAGCTCAGCCCACCAGGGGGCGGGGCTGGCTGGCATGTGGTGCTGGGGGATTGAACCGTGGTCCTTGTGCTTTGCTAAACTTGTTCTAAGTAGGTGCTTTAGACCACTGAGCCATCTCACCAGCCCCTGCCCTATTCTTTTAAACTATTTTTTTAAATATTTATTTATTTATTTTGTGTGTGTGTAGCCAGCTCAGCCCACCAGGGGGCGGGGCTGGCTAGCACGTGGTGCTGGGGGATTGAACCGCGGTCCCTGTGCTTTGCTTAGCTTAGCTTGTTCTAAGTAGGTGCTTTAGACCACTGAGCCATCTCACCAGCCCCTGCCCTATTCTTTTAAACTATTTTTTTAAATATTTATTTATTTATTTTGTGTGTGTGTAGCCAGCTCAGCCCACCAGGGGGCGGGGCTGGCTAGCACGTGGTGCTGGGGGATTGAACCGCGGTCCCTGTGCTTTGCTTAGCTTAGCTTGTTCTAAGTAGGTGCTTTAGACCACTGAGCCATCTCACCAGCCCCTCTTTTCAAATACATTAATATCTCTAGCGATGTTTAATTTCTTTCTTTCTTTCTTTCTTTCTTTCTTTCTTTCTTTCTTTCTTTCTTTTGGCGGAACCGGGGATTGATCTCAGGCCCTTGCGCTTGCCAGGGAAACACTTATTCCACTGAGCCATCTCCCGGCTCCTTAATTTCTAAATATAGGCGCAGAGATTAACAACAGTAACTAAAAATAAAATAGAACTATTAAACAATACTGCGTACTTACTGAAGGATGTAATCTGAGCGTGGTGGCACACACCTGTAGTCCCTGCACGTGGAAGGCTGAGGCAGGAGGATCACCGTGATTTCGAAGCCAGCCTGAACTTCATAGTGAGAGACCTTATCTCAAAAAACCCCAAAACGTTCACCTAAAGAAAGCATCTTATGGCTCCGCTTCGGTGCATCTAGGCTGCTCTTCTTTCACTTTCCCCCCCTTGAGTAAAATCCATAAGGGTTAGTTGGAGACAGACACGGCTGCGCTCCCGCCCTGTTATAGGGACACGCTGTCGAGCCACCGGCAGGGGGCAGCATATGCAGCCCCATGCGCGGCCTGAGGGAGCAGAGGCGGCCTGACTCACTGGAGCAGGAACCAAAAAACTAACAATGATCTACTTCTGGAATTTCTCATTTAATGATCTCGCACTTAACCTTGGGTAACGGAAACTGAAGAGTGAAACAGCAGTTGAGGGGTGAGTAGTTTCTCAGGTACTCTGTGAGGTAACTGGGTTAGGATGGGCCACACACAGATGTACAGATGGCTGTAATTGCTACATAGGCCACAGGCCTCTCTCTCTCTCTCTCTCTCTCTCTCTCTCTCTCTCTCTCTCTCTCTCTCTCTCTCTCTCCCTCTCTCCCTCTCCCTCTCCCTCCCTCCCTCTCTGTCTCTTTCTCCCCCTTTCTTTCCTCCTTGTTTGTGGTATTTTCCTTTTTGTTTTGTGAGACAGGGTCTCTCTGTGTAGTCCAGGCTGCCCTCAGACTCACAGCGATCCTCCTGCCTCAGCCTCCCGAGTGCTGGCATTCCAGCAGGTGTGGGCCGCCATGAAACCAGCTGGATATATAGGCATTTCCAAACAATGAGACTTAATAATCCCTTTTGAGATGGTCACAGAGAGGCGGGTAGCCTGATGAGTCCCCCTACCCAGCACTAGTAAGAGAGCGTCTGGGACTCAGGCTGGGTGCAGACTCCAGACTGCTCTGGACAGCTGGGCAGACAGGAGGAACGGAAGATGGAGGCAGTACGTGAGGCTCCTCCCCAGCCATCCCTCCTGACCTGTGTCCTTCTCCCACAGCCACCAAGAAACACAGGGCCACCTGCTCGGCCCTCTCCACCTTCTACTTCCTTTTCGTCATCTTCGTGGTGTCCACCGTGTTCCACTGCCACCGGCGCCTGGCCCCGGTGCCCGCCCCCTGGGCCTCCGCCCCCCGTGTGCTGCTGGCCTCCGCGCACCTTCCGAGGGAGGGCATGTGGACGATCAACGCCATCGGCCGCCTGGGGAACCAGATGGGCCAGTACGCCACGCTGTACGCCCTGGCCAAGGCCAACGGCCGGCCGGCCTACATCCCCGCGCCCATGCACCGCACGCTGGCGCCGCTCTTCCGCATCAGCCTCCCGGTCCTGCACAGCTCCACGGCCAGCGCCGTCCCGTGGCGCAACTACCGGCTGGACGACTGGATGCAGGAGCGCTACCGCCACATCCCGGGCCGCTACGTGCGCCTCACCGGCTACCCCTGCTCCTGGACCTTCTACCACCACCTGCGGCCCGAGATCCTGCGCGAGTTCAGCCTGCACGAGCACGTGCGCCGCGAGGCGCAGGCCGTCCTGGGGGCGCTGCGCGTGCACGGGGCGCGGCCCCGCACCTTCGTGGGGGTGCACGTGCGGCGCGGCGACTACGTGCACGTCATGCCGCGCGTGTGGAAGGGGGTGGTGGCCGACCGCGCGTACCTGCGGCAGGCCCTGGACTGGTTCCGCGCCCGCTACCCGGCCCCGGTCTTCGTGGTCACCAGCAACGGGATGGCCTGGTGCCGGGACAACATCGATGCCTCGCGCGGGGACGTGGTGTTCGCGGGCGACGGCCTCGAGGGCTCGCCGGGCAAGGACTTTGCTCTGCTCACGCAGTGCAACCACACGGTCATGACCATCGGGACCTTCGGGATCTGGGCCGCCTACCTCGCGGGTGGGGACACCGTCTACCTGGCCAACTACACGCTGCCCGACTCCCCCTTCCTCAAAGTCTTCAAGCCCGAGGCGGCCTTCCTGCCGGAGTGGGTGGGCATCGCCGCCGACCTGGGGCAGGGCAGCCCCTAGCCAAGGGCGTCCCTTGTCCTGGTCCCCCAAAAGCCAGCGTATGTGGGTTCAGCGTGTGGAGTCAGGATCCCTTAGGGAATTTGAATCCAGCAGGCAGCTGTGTGACCTTGCCCGGAGGACTTCACCTCTCTGTGCCATCGTGCGGGGGTGAAATGGCGCTCCCAGAACATACGCCTCCTGAGGACTGGACAAGCTCGCTCAGAGCTGTGCCTGGGAGACTCCTTGGTGCCTTGTACATGCGTGGGAAGCGCTGGCCACTGTCACGGGTTAGCTGGAGCGATGTTTGCAGCTGGGGCTTACGCCTGGGACCAGGGGCCTCAGTGTGTGAGCAGGTGAGGGTGGGCAATCAGACAGCCCATGTGGGCTGCTGGCTGTGACCTGGGCACGCTCATCTGGGCACCGTCTAGATCTGTGCTGTGCTTTGTGGCAGCAGGGACACCTCCGAGAGGGTGGTGTGCAAGGTGGGGATACGCCAAGTCAAGGAGCATGGGGCCCATGAGGCTTGGCAGCTGGAGGGACCTGGTGCGGGGTCACGGCTGGGCACAGGGCACCCTGGCTTGGGTCTTGGCTCCTGTTATAGCCACTGTCCAGCTGGGTCAGCGCCTCTTCTTGTGTCCTTATTTGACCTCCTCACCTTCCAGGATTCCATCCTCAAGACCCAGGGTTGATTCAGGTTCCCACTCCCAAGCCAGTGTGGTGGAGCTCGCCTCTAATCCCAGCACTCTGGGAGACTAAGGGAGGAGGATCCCAAGTTTGAGCCCAGCCAGAGCAATTTGGTATCCAAGCAAGAGTTTGTCTGAAGATAAAATAAGTAATTTTAACAGGCCAGAGATGTGGTACAGCATGAAGCCCCTGGGTTCAATTCCTAGTTGTAGAAATAAAAGTTCCCGCTACCTTTCTACCTCATACTGCGAATTACCCTCCTCCGTGAGGGGTGGTGCAGACCTAACCCCAAGGGATGATGTGACTCACGCGCAGTTCTGGTTTCCTGGCTAGAGGGGACTGAAACCCGAGATCCGGAGCCCGTGTGATGCCCCTCTGTGGGTACTGGGGGAGTCCAGTGCAGGACAGTTTACATTCATTCAACGTGTCCCCCACGGCCCTGTTTAGAAAACTTTTTGATCACATCTCCTTCCTACTCAAAAGTCTTTCCAAGTTATCTCTCGAGTCCTGAGACTGAGCTCATTCTCATTTGTGGAAAAATAAGAGTGCTTGTGTTCGGAGCTACTTAGGCCTCAGTCTCTGCCCCTGTGTCTCAGTGTAGCTGTGTAGTGCCGGGCTGGGGAGGAAGGGGCTTGGGGAGGGGGCTCTGTCTGCTCTCCTGCTACATAAATCACCCCCAGACATAGCAGTTTAGAGCCATAATAGCCGGACAGAGTGGCGCACAACTGTAATCCTGGCACTCGGGAGGCTGAGGCAGGAGGATCACAAGTTTGAGGCCAGCCTGGGTTGCATAGCAAAATGCAGTCTCAGAAGCAAGTCGGCTAGGGAGATAGCTGTGCGGTTGTCTCAGTTGCTCTTCTCTCGTTGCTGGGACAAATACCTGACGCCCAAAATGAAGGAAGGAAAGGTTTATTCAGCTCACATACTGTAGGTTTCAGTGCATACTCACCTGGCTCCAAGGCAGAGTGGCACATGGCAGAGAGCAAACTTTCATGGCGGCAGAGAGCAACTGGGAGGAGCAGCAGCAACAGTGGCAACAGAGAGCACGACTGTCGCTCTGGTTACATTCAGGCTATCCGCCCCTGGCTGGGTGTAGCGCTCACACCCATAATCCCAGCAGTAGCAGTACGCAGACCCATAATCCCAGCCTCGGATCATGAACTAGTCGCAAACTGCGGAACTGCGCCTGGATGACTGCACGAGGCTTTGTGGGCACGAATACGCACAGATCACTACGGTGGTCTAAGCTCCTGCCTGGCAAGCGCAAAGACCCCGGTTCACTCCCCAGTACTGCATGCCGTGCCAGTCCTGGAACCCTGGGTATGCCGTGCTGGCTACCAAAACCGGGCTTGGTGGTGCACGCCTATAATCCCAGCACCCGGGAGGCTGAGACAGGACGATCACTACAAATCCAAGCTGCGTAGCGAGACCCTGTACCAAATAAATAAATAAATAAATAAATAAATAATTTTTTAAAAAAGAGAGAGACAAGGAAGCAACAACAGTCATGCTCTTCTGTGGGCTCTGAGGCCAGGTATGAGGGGGGCCCCGTGGGTGCCACCCTGTGTCCACTCGGGCCGCGCTGTCTTCGGCCTCACTTGGCTGCCTGGGCACCTGCTCCTGACAAGGCAGAAGCTGCAGTCAGCTGACCCGAGTCATGCCCTGTCCCCCCCCTCCCCCTAGAGCTCAGGGAGCAGCGCTGCTCCCCACAGGAGGGGCTGTGCAAGGACTGGGGGCCAGCAGGGAGGTGGGCGGCAGTCACACCAGCGTCCTGAGTTACAGGAAGTGAGTAGCCCGAGGTCCAGCTGGCCGGAAATCCAAGACAGAAGGGTCGGAAGGGCTGAGGACCCCGAGGGGGAAGCTTCCACGCCTGCCTCAGGCTGCAGCTGCCAATGGCTGTCTTCTCCCGTGCCTTCTGCTGCCTTCTCCTCTGTGTGTATGTCCAGATCTGGCTTTGGGGTTTTAGTTTTAGTATTCGGGATTAAGTCCGTAATCTCACACATGGGAGCGAAGTGCTTTACCACTGTGCTACTAGCCCTTTTTTTTTACTTTTTAAATTGTATTTAGTACAGGGTCTGCTGGGTCTCACTACACAGATTGGGCTTGTAGTGATCCTCCTGTTTTCAGCCTCTGAATGCTGGGGTTACAGGCATGCGCCACCACGCTCAGTCTCAATAGCTGTCTCAGTGTGCCCCAGGGGCAAGGCCGGCATGGCATGCCAGGGATTGAACCCTAGTCACTGTGTCTACCTAAACAGGCTCTTTAATCTGTTGAGCTATCTGGCCAGCCCTTGCCCTAGCCCTTTTTATTTTTCCTTTTAAGATAGAGTATCTTTGCCAGGATTTGAATTTGGGATCCTCCTGCCTCAGCCTCCTGCGTAACAGGGTTCACAGCAAAATTTCCTCCTATTTATTTATTGTGTGTTTTTGTTTTTGTTTTTTTCCCCCAGAACCGGGGATTGAACTCAGGCCCTTGCCAGGGAAGCACTTATTCCACTGAGCCATCTCCCCGGCTCCCTTATTCATTGTTGATACGGGGTCTTGCTATGCAATTTGGACTCATAGTGATTCTCCTGTCTCAGCCTCCCCAGTACTGGGATTACAGGCATGCGTCACCACGCCTGGTTTAGGGGTCAGCACAGCAGACCCAGGGTTCCAGGGCTGGCACAGCTGTGGTACTGGGGATCGAACCTGGGTCCTTGTGCTTGCCAGACAGCTGCTTAGAGCACCCAGCTATCTCCCCAGCCCAATCCTTCCTCCTCTTATAGGGACACTAGTCACAGTTACATCAGAGCCCACCTATTGATTAAAGATCCTGTCTCAAAACAGTCACATTCTAGGGTACTGGGGGTTAGGACCTCAACAACTGGATTTTTATGGAAGTACAGTTCAGCCCAGCTGGCTCCTTTGTGCTTCTGACCTTGATTCTAAACTGTTCCCCAAGAGCTGGCTGTCAGCCTTCTGCCAGTGCAGAAAGTGGGGGGAGAAAAGAGTGAAGTTGGGTTGTTTGTTCTGCCAGGTTATAGCTCCCTATGGTCACTGGCCCTCGGGTGCCACACCATCTCACTGTTGTCCCCACACCCCACCCACAATATTAGAGTCATCTTGTTTTTTGTTTTGTGGGATGGGGGATTGCACTCAGGACCCTGCACTTGCCAGGCAAGCGCTTCTTCTAATTGAGCCATCTCCCCGGCCCAAGAATCATCTTGTTTAACACAGATCACAGAGTCATGTGATATGGTGCATACCTGTAATTGCAGCACTCTGGGAAGATGAGGCAGGAGGACCCCAAGTTTAAGACAAGCCTGGGCAACTTAGTAAGACCTGGTCTTGCATAAAAAATGCTGGGGTGGGGCTGGAGAGATGGCTCAGTAGAATAAGCACTTGCCTGGCAAGCACATGGGCCTGAGTTCAATCCCTGGTTCCACAAAAAAAAAAATAAATAAATGCTGGAGATGTAGCTCAGAGTCAAAGCCAGGGTTCAATTGCTAGTGCGGGGAAAAAAAAAAAAAAAAAAAAACACCAAACAGGAATCCTAGGGCCCCTAGCCAGTGTCCCACAAAAGATTTTCTCAAGTTTAGGTTTCACTCTGATATAGCTGAAAGTCTCACAGCTTAGCTGGGTGAGAACTGGACCCCAGCGCACAATGCAGATGGGTGACGTATCTGTTCGGGGCTTGCCTTGGGGGACAAGGGGGAAGCCAGCTGTGCCGACCCAGCTTCCAGTGCCATTTCCCTGACCAGTCCTTTCTCTAATGTCTTTGGGCCAGTATGGGTAAACACTGGGGAGCCCCTCCCAGAAATGGGGTGGTACCATGGGCACCCGTGGCTCTTGGAAATTGGGCGGTGCCCGTGAGGCACTGACTTTATCACCCGGTGGCCCAGCAGGCGGGTCCCGGGCTCTCCCACCTGTGCTTGCCCTGCCTGGCTCATTCAAGGCAGAGAGCAGCTTTTATTGTATCAAAGCCGCAACAGGGGCTGGGGAGCTGCCAGCTGCCAAGCCAAGCCCGCAGCCGGGCGTGACGGCGCACGAATGCATGCAATTCAGCAAATATTTACCAAGCTCCTTGCGGAGGTTGCAAGTGCCAAGGCAGAGGTTGGCCAGCTGGTCTGGCCGCTAATCCTTGTCCTGGAGCAGAAGCTGGGGACAGAGCTGGTGGGCAGCAACTGGGTCTGTGTGGGGTCCTTGGGACGTGCTTATTCTGGGGACGCCCTGGCCTACTTGGTGCCTACACTGCAGGCCCCAGCATGCGTGGCCTGGTGTAAAGACAGAGTGGTTGCAGATTTGATTAGTTAAGATGAGGCCTCCCAGAGCAGGGTGGGCCCCCAATGCTCTGTGACCACAGACACACAAGGAGCAGACGCCACAGGATCAGAGGCTGAGGGTGACCCCAGGCCTCAGAACATTGAAGGCACAGTTTCCCCTATCCCGAGCCACGTGGTGGGAGTTACCCTGCCAGAGCAGCTGGGGAAGACACCGCAGGGCTTCGGGGTGCAGAGGACAACCGCCGAGCCAGCAGGAGCGCCGTGGCTCGGCAGGCAAGCAGACTGGGGGCCTGGGGCTGCCTCGGTGGTG